CCTGCGTGGGCAGGGACACCTCCTACCAGCCCAGGTTGCTCCAAGCCCCATCCAACCTGCCCTTCAACACTGCCATTGCAGTGTTTGATCACCCTCTTCATGAGGAAATGCTTCCTAATATCCAACCTACACCTCCCCTGGAGCAGCTTCAGGCCATGTCCTCTCATCCTGACACTGGTTGCCTGGCAAAATAGCCCAGCCCCCACCTGACTACAACCTCCCTTCGGGTAGCTGAACAGAGTGAGAAGGTCCAGCCTGGATCTGGATGATCTTTAAGGTCCCTTCCAACCCAAACCATTCTATGATCCACAGGGAGAGGCTCCCTGAGTGTGTCGTGCTGCCAGTGGGAGAGGCAGGGGGGTCCTGCCTGTGTCCTGCCTGCCCCTCAGACAGAGAACATGTCGTGTTCTGTCGAGCAGCAGCAATAATTCTTCACTGTTGAGTCTCTGTGGCATGTGACCCTGCACAGGCACCTCGTCTGCTCTGCTGGTGCCTCTGTCCTGGTGGCTCTCACAGCGACGTGCGTGGTCACAGCGCCCTGCTCGGCAGAGCCCTGTTCCCATGGGACGGGCCTTCCTCCTCCCAGGCGTGTGCCAGGAGCCAGGGGGAGCACAGGAAGGTGGCTGGGGAGCATGTCTGAGCCCCAGCTGTGGCCTGTCCCATTTCAGGCCTTCTCAGCCCCTCCTTGACCGCTCCATCCCCGACTTCACTGCCTTTACCTCAGTGGACGACTGGCTGAGCGCCGTGAAGATGAGCCAGTACCGGGACAGCTTCCTGACTGCTGGCTTCACCTCCCTGCAGCTGGTCGCCCAGATGACGTCCGAGTGAGTTGGGTGTTGTGCTGGGGCTGCCTGGGGAAGGGAGTGGGCTTGGGGAGGTGGGAAGGTCAGTTCACAGTGTGCCTGGGCTCTCTGGCCATTCTTCTGCTGAAAGACGTGGACCAGCTGAGCTTACATCCCTCACCTCACTGCAGAACACATCCACCAACCCTCATCTGGCCACTAATACCTCCCTCCCTGTCTGTCTGTCTTCCAGAGACCTCCTGAGAATAGGGGTGACTTTGGCTGGGCACCAGAAGAAGATCCTGAACAGCGTCCAGTCCATGCGAGTACAGATGAGCCAGTCTCCAAGCTCGATGGCGTGATGTCCCTTGTTGGACAGGGAGGGCAGAGGTGGGAGGGGAGGACCCGAGGGGCACCACAGGGCAGCGTTTGGAGAGGTGCCACCACTGCCTGGGGACTGTCACTGCAGGCAGAGGGTGTTCCTGGGACTCATCTCAACTGGTGACTCCCGTTCCTCACCAACAGAAGCACACTTACTGATGTCACGGGGAACGGCCTATAAATACCTATAAATATGTACAAAGCATATATTTAAAACAAAACCACACAAAAAAACAAACAAACAACAACAATGAAGACAAACCAATGTGCGTTGGGGAAGCAAACCCAAACCCTAGAGACGAGACTCCAATCCCACCACCAGTGAGCAGTGGTCGAAACTGAGGAGGAGGAGGAGGGGGCTGTTGGGAGAGGCACAAGATGGAGTGTCCCGGCTGGAGGAACCACCTTCCTGTTCTTGTCTTCTTCTGCCCACCCTCCCTGCCTCATTCCCCCCCTACCCTCTTGGCTCATAGACCGGGTGGAAGTGTCCTCAGATGTCTCCACAGCTCCCTGCTGTCCTGCTGGGGGCCACAACTACCAAAGGACTTCTCTGACCACTGCATGGGGGATCCAACTCAATCCACTTAATGTCTTCATATTGAAGAAGAGATGTACCTTCAATAGAAAACCTGGGGTTTTTGGTTGGGTTTTTTTTTTCCTCTTTTGCTTGCTTTTTTTTTTTTTTTTTTTGCAAAAAAGAAAAAAAAAAGGGATTTAAAAAAAAGCAAAACAAACCAACAAACAAATCCATCCTAGAAAAAGGAGGGAGATGTTCCTGTATGTGTGTGTGTGTGTGTGTGTGTTGTCAACCTACCCTGGACTCGCTGCTCGTCCTGCCAACAGGAACGGGATGGGATGGGACCGGAGGAGCTGCTGTGGGGTTGGTGACTGGAGGAGGAGGTGCTGTGGGAAACAGACTGACTGCTGGGGCCTCCTGAGCCTTGGCCACGCACAGAAGATGGCTACGGAGGACTTTTTTTTTATTACCCCCATCTTGTGGACCTAAGGATGTTGATAGTGATTCACAGACCTTGGTTTCGTGGCTTCAGAGGTAGGTGCCTCTGTCCATCCTCTGTGTGTCCTGGTTTGAGCCAGAATTAAGCCAGTTTCACTGGTATTTCTTTTTCCCTCTTTTTTTGGCTGCTCACTCCTGTAAGGCCTGTCCCAGTGAATGTTTCTCTGTGTTGAAGTTGATTTGATTTTCTTCCCTTCCACTCTTGGTCTCCCTGGCAAACTGATCTAGTTGAACTTACTGGCCGCGTCTCGGTGTTTGCACACAAGGTTGTGCAGCTGGGCAAGGTAACTTCCCTCTGGGGGTCCTGCTGGGAGTTTGAGAGATGAAACAACTCTTCATAAGGCTTTAGCTGGGTGGGTTGTGTGAGCTCACAGAATCCCAGAATCACCAAGGCTGGAAAAGACCTCTGAGATCATCAAGTCCAGCCTATGACCTGACACCCCCACATCTCCAGACCATGGCACCAACTGCCACATCCAGTGTTTCCTTGAACACCTCCAGGGATGGTGCCTCCACCACTTCCCTCGGCAGGCCATTCCAATGTCTGATCACCCTCTCAGTTGAGGAAGTGCTTCCTGATATCCAACCTAAAGCTCCCCTGGAGCAGCTTCAGGCCAGGCCCTCTTGTCCTGTCACTAGAAGAGCCCAACCCCGCCTGACCACAGCCTCCCTTCAGGTGGTTGTAGAGAGTGAGAAGGCCCCTGTGTCTTCTCCAGGCTAAACACCCCCAGCTCCCTCAGCCTCTCCTCATCAGACTTTCCCTCTAGTCCCTTCACCAGCATCGTTTTCTCCTCTGGACCTGCTCCAGCACCTCAAGAGCCTTCTTGCAGTGTAATGAAGCTGTAATGATCCATCCCTGTGCTCCAGCTGGTGCTGTGCTGAGCAGCACTCCTGGGGCTGGGAGAGCTGCTGGGCAGGATGCTGGGCAGGATGCCAGGACTACTGGCAGCCAGATTTGGTGGCTTGGTGGCTCCTAGATGCACAAGAAACCCTCCCTCCTCTTCACATGTCCATCCCTGCTGTTGGGCTGCCCCACATCCAGCTGTGCTATGAGGATACCTGTTGTCCATCAGTGCTATGAGGAAGCTCTGTGTCCCACCTGTGGTATGAGTTTTCCCCTTGCTCACCCTTGCTCTTGGGATGTCCCACACTATGGGAGTGCTCCACGTCCACCTGCACCACCCCATATAGTGTGCTCTAGGTGGCCCTGCTTTAGCAGGGTGTTGGACTAGATGATCCCTTCCAACCCCCCCCATGCTGTGATTGTCCCACCTCCATCCATGCTGTGGAGATGCCTCACCAGGTTGGTTTGCTGCTGCCAAGGGCTCTGCCTGCTGCCAGCACTTGGCCACGTGGCCTGGGTGTCAGTTTTGTCCCTGTGCTGGGTCTGTTGGGCTCTCTCTGGCTAAGGGTTGTCCGTGTGTCCTGTGGGGTGCACGTGCTGGGATCAGGAGGACAGCAGCTGGCACCACCAGCAGGTGAAGGACTCTGGACCTCTTGACACCTCCCACTTCCTTCATCACCTGAGGAAGAGGACCCACCACTCTGCTGAAGAACGGCAACTAACGAGACGCAGCAGTGACCTTGTTCCAAGTCCCTGAACTCCCCCCAGAGAAAGAGGAGGAGAAAATCACCCCTTGTTTACAAAGAACAGGGACTGCTCCTCAGCCTGGCTGCTAAGACGGGCTCTAATTCTTCCTGGGATCCTCACAGACCACATCTGTATTCCAGGATGTCCCATGGATCCCAGATGCAACTGGAGCAGGCGCTGCCTTGCCTTGATGTTCACCGGTGGTGAAGGATCCTTTGTGGGGTTGTTTTTTTTGGATGATTTGTCTTTTCTTAGAAGGAAGCAAAACACATTTCAAGAGAGGAATGGCAGGGACAGGCTGAGGAGCAGAATTCCACCCTTCTGGCAGGCCCAGCTGTGCCAGCAGCTGCTCCTGCAGTCCCACGTGGCAGCTCTGTGCCTGGTGGGACGATGCGATGGCACCACAGCCCTTGGTGTTGATACAAACCCTTTAATATCAAGGTTTAATATCAATGCTTTAATATAAAGCATTTGGTCCTGCCTGTCCAGCCCAGGAGGGTGAGCACCCACAAGTGGATCAAGGTGTCCCAGTGCTGGGATGGTTTTGGAGATGCTGAGTCCTGCTTTTTGTCTTGGTTTGGTTTCCTGGGCAGATGACACCCGTTGCCTCCCCCTTGCCTGTGCTGCCAAACACCCATGGACAAAGTGCTTCAGGCAGGTTTCTGGCCAGGGAGAACCTTGGGCTGTGGTCTCCAGTGTGTGAAGGGAGCACATCTGGGCACCAGGACCACACCGATGGAGGGGGAGGCCCTTGGCTGAGAGCAATGTGGTGTTACTACAGCATGGGGAGCAGGAGACTCCGTTCTGACCTCTGAAGACTTGCAGGAGGCCTTCAGAGGATGCCTTCTACACCCTTGTTTCACCCTGCCCGTGGCTAACCCAGCCCAGTGCTCACCTGCTCTTCTTCCTGGCCAGAAGGCAGGCAAGATAAAGCTGCACTGCGAGTCGAGGGCTACAGCAGCAACCCCAGAGCTGGTGCCTTCCAGACCAGTCTCAGCCTTGAGAAGCTTTGTGCACCATCCTAAACTCAACCATATGGAGACTAGCAGGAGGTCAGGGTGGGAAGTCCCCTCAAGAGGTGACACATGGCCACAGCAGTGTCTGTTGGTGATGCCAGGGCTGTTGGGCTTTCCACCCTGCTGCTTTTCCCCAGCTGGCCAACATCTGTCCTCTCCTGGGCTCCTGTCACAGCAGGTGATTCCCACAGCCCACCTAACAGCCCTCACCACAAGGGTGGCATCTCCACATCCTGCTGGGTCAGCAGCAGCAGATTGAGTCCTCCAGGGTCTGATGAGAGCCTGGCAGCAGATTGATGGTGCTGAGGGCTGAGCAGGGAGACTGGCAGTGCTGCAAACCAGTCCCTTTGGTGATGGGGCATCCTTGGCCAAGGGGGTGGCTCTTAAGATGATACCTGAAGGAGGCCCACCATGGGCCACCTGCTCTCCTGCCTTTCAGTACCAGGCTCTTCATCCAACATGGAAGATTTCAGCAAAAGCTGCCAGTTTTCTGATCTGCTCATGGAAAACAAGGAGGGGGGAAGTGCAAGATAGGTCTGATTTTTGCTTTTTATTGAAAAGAACAACAGAACTTTCAGAACTTCTGCTGGGCCATTTTGATTCTTTAGAGCTCATTTTCAAGGAAAATTAGTTTTCCAAACCACGGAACCACTTCCTGTCTGGAAGTGTCCCTGCCTGGCCATGGCAGCAGAGTTGTGTGTCTATGAACTGGCTCTTCTTTTCCTTCACAAGATGCCAAGGAGGAGGCTCTTGCCAGGGTGGAAGGTGCAGGGAACATCAAAGAGGTGCCTCCTAAGACTTGGTACTTGCCTGCATCAAGAGAAGACTCTGGGTGCTTGGCTGTAGCTGTGTGACTGCCCTGTCCAGGTCCTTTAAGAAGCCCCCATCAGTGATGGCATGGAGAAGCAGGTGGAATGCTCCAGCTTGGAGAGCTGGGAGATGGAGCAGGAGCTGCAGGCAGCAGTGAGACCTGCCCCAGGAGGCTCTGCCCCACAGCTCCTGCTGTGTGTTTGTGGACCAAGGAGGGACGCAGGGTTGGGTCTGTTGGACACTTTGCCAACTCAGAGGGCCTCTGCCAAATGGGGGGGAAAGAACCAGTGAAAATAAAGAAGAAACATGAAACCACTAAGGGTGTTCTACAAACAAAAGTCCCCATCGCACACCTTCTGATGAACATTGTTCTTGGTGTTCCAGTTCCTTTCTTTGATCCCAGTGGGGCTTATTTTTTACCCCCAAAGTTTTGGTTTGCATGGAAATAAGAGGAAGAAAAAGGCATCTCTGATGGACATGAACCAACTCCATAGACCTTCTCTCTGGGCTGGGGTTCATCCACCACACAGAGTCCTGGTGGCTTCCTCTGCCAGCTGCTGGTGCTGGAGGTGGATCCTGGATCCTGGCTGGATCCTGGCCACCAGCAGAGCTGATGCTTGGCCATGACACCTCGCTGCTCCAGCTGCATCCCAAGCAGTGCCACCTGGATGTGGCCACTCACCCTAGTTGCCCTCGAGTGAGACCACCTTGTGCTCAGCCCGACCCCTCCTGCCAGGGGAACACGTTAGCAGCTTCTTCTTCACATTTACATGGCAACAGCAGA